GTTCCAGAATAAATCGGTCACTTAGTATTTTGCTCATATCTTAGTTGAATTGTATCCCCTAAGCTTTGTTGTTTTCTTAAAAGATGTGCCGTAAAATTCTCTACAAAAAATATATTAAACATTTTTCGGTTTCGTGAAGGTCGCGAAGAAGTTGAAGATGAAGCACGACCTGGCAGACCAGTCACCGAAACAACAACTGAAAATATTGAACAAATCCGTCGTCTTATCGATGATGATCCTTTTAGTACAATTGAAGAATTGCAGGAACAAACTGGCTTAAGTTATAGCACCATTCAAAGAATCATCAGCGACCATTTGCAGCTTAGAAAAATTACTGCTCGTTATATGCCTAAACATCTGAACGATTTTCAACGGGCTGAACAAGTTCGCATATGCAAAGAAAACTTAGAAAAATTCGAAAAAAGAATATGGCGCTTATGCGATGTGGTGACTGGAGATGAGTTGTGGTTTTACCACAAACAAATCGGTCGAAACTCATCGAATGCTGTTTGGGTAACAAAAGGAGATCCTCCACCTACAGTAGTTTGATTTAATAAATTTGCTCCAAAAACCTTGTTTTCCATCTTTTTTAAGTCAAATGGTCCTCTTATTATTCATCGTGCTGAACGTGGATAAACTGTTGATCATCGGTATTACACTGACAATTGTTTACAACCTCTCGTCAATGAAATCAGGCGTCAAAGATCATCATTTGGCACACGTGGTATTAAACTCCTTCATCACAATGGAAAACCTCATGTTCACAAAGCTGTTTGCGAGTACCTTGAATCAAAAGATATCACAATAGTACCACATGCACCTAATTCGCCAGATCTTGCACCATGTGACTTTTGGTTATTTGATTTAGTCAAACAAAATATAAGTGATCAGAACGATGCAGAATCATTGAATGACGCTATAACTACATTCATGTACTCGTTGGATCCACAAGAATACAGAAAAACTTTCGATAAATGGATTCAAAGGATGCAATTGTGTGTAGATAATGATGGAGAATATTTTGAACATTTAATGAAATAAAAAGCTGCTGAAATTGTTCAATACTTTTTTTTATTCTACTACTATTGCCTGTGATAGACTACACGTGTTATATTTATAAAGAGTTAGGTATTAGAAGAGACGAAAAAGTAAAGAAGAAAGTAAAGATAAGAGAAGAATAAAGAAACGATCAAAACCAAAAATGCACATGGATGAAAATATGATCCAATATTAGGGTTATATTTTACACAAATTTAGTTCTTGTCAGAATTTTATTATCATGGTACTAGATGAACAGAGATGAAATACCATAGAAAAATAGAGCTTCATTTTCTCTATCATTCTATGAAAAAAGAAAATTTCCTTAAGCGTTTTATAAGAAAATTATATGGCTCCGCCACTACTTTTGGGCACCCCTAAGTAATTATAAATAATGAGAACATCGGGAGAAACAGCGAACTACAAAACTTTGGAAATCATTGAAAGACTTCTGGGTACCTTCTAATGTTTGACCAGACTTCGAAAGGCATCAAAGGACTTCACATAAATCTAGTAGTCTTCATCGGATTTTTTCGGACTTCAAAGAACTCTAATAGAATCCAGAGTACTTTATCGGACCTTACAGGATTTCTTTAAAATTCATCGAATTTTTGCGAAACTCTACAGAATTCCACTACAGTTTAAGAAAAAGTTCGACAGGCGCTTCAAAACCTTTTTCTGTTTCTCCGCTCGGCACGAACTTGAAACTTAAAAAGGTTTAGTAGCACCTGCCGAACCTTCTTTATCGCTTTTAGACTTTGGTGATAAACTTGTTTAGAGTGTAGGATTCAGAAGACTTTGCTGAATTTTGAAAATATTAGTGGAACTTTATTCAATTTCAAGACTAAAGTCGCGGCTATTTCTCTCCATGATTATGAATATTTACCTATGAAGGCAACTTGGTAAATATCCATGTCAAAATTATTCAAAATATGAGAAAGCGGATTTCTGTAGTTTTCAAAACAATCTGTATTAAAAAAGGTCAGTTTGATGCCACATGGTAAACAAACTTCGAAATGAAGTAATCCAGGTGTTTTTTCGACATTGATCTCATATTTTGAGTATTGGGATGTTTTTGCTTTTAATTTAGTGACGGTTTCCATCACAGCTGTTATAAAACCTATTCCACGATTTGATAGATAAATTATATTAATGTCTTGTTCATTAGTATCAGGAAATGATAAGTGACATAATGAATTTATTACAGCCCTTCCAACAATTGCAAGTTTTGAGAAATTGATGACGTCGAGCCACTGAGCTGAGAAAAAACGACTTGCAAGATTTCTTTTAAACTCTTCGAGAGTGCTCACAAATGTTGGATTGTATTGGCAATTTAAGTTCATTTGAATTGGAAAATACGTATTAGCTGAGTAAATAAATAAAATATGAATAATTTTTAAGTTCAAAATAACATTTTACTGCTCTTACTCTTAAAAAGATTTCTTTCATGCTCATTTAAATTTCGTTCCAAACCTATTGTCGGACTATGTATTTCATAGTCGAGCAATCCAAAATCTGAGCAATATAGATCGGTATTGAATGGTAAAAGGCGGGAATAACATTGGAAAACCGATGTTCTATAGGTTTGACAAAGCTTATTAAAGCCTTCGTGACTGAAACATGGATAAACAAATAAACGTTGACTTGGTTGAATAAAAGATGAATAGCGTTGGTCAACGAAAACTAATTTATTATTGATGACTTCACATTGGATTAAATGATGTTCATACATCTTTTTCGACACGAAAACTAGGTCATATCGACAAAATTTCTTCAGGATGAGAAGGAAATCATGATCAAACGTTGATGCAATGTTTCGAAATTGGCTATCATCGTTCACATCTTCAAGGAAGTTGGATGCATCTATGCCTTCAAGGAAGCGTAGCAGATAATATCCGATATATGGATGAAGATCCACAATTTTGTGTCCAGGTTCAGTCATAATTTGCTAAAATCAATCGATAATCAGTGATTTAACAAATTTTTCATTAAATACTTACCTTCTACTTGTTTTATATTCGAGATTTCAGCAAATTTTTAAAAAGGCCTTTTATCTAAAATATTCTCACAATAAGCACTCATTTCTTCAATTATATTTTGGTAGGTCTAATGATCTTTTATTTTAATTAGTGTATATTGAAGCGTAAAAATAAATCGAAATATTACTTAAAACAATACATATAAAAACATCAAGAAAAAACGGCAACGAAATTGTGAAATATTAAAAAACTACAATAACGTTGACTACAAGAATATCTGATACAAAGTATACTTGACAATTATTACTGAAGTTTTTCTTTTTTTTGTTCATAAAATAACATATTTGATTTTCATATCTTTATTCTTATTGATCGTGAATATCGCGCAAATTAATCTTGTTAATATAAGTCTATAATATTCCCATATTCAGTGATTGCTCAATGATTTATTGTCGAAAATGCTTACTTTTCTATTTTCATTCTTTCTCTTTGAATACTTCAATATATCATTGTTGTTGTTTATATTAATTCCAGTTATATTCATCAAACAAAAATATAAGAATATACAATTAAAAAAACTAATTTCTTTGTTTTTGACTGACAATTGATGCAAATATTCCCGAAACGACAGCAGTTGACATAATAATCTACAAAGAACTATCGGCAAATTCTTTGATGACAAAGAGAATAACATACTTTTATTGCTATTTACTGTCACTTGATATTGAATATAAATTATATTTATTAACTCTTTTAATATAATTATTCAACGCGTTTTAATAAATAATTAATTCAACAATATTCATTGTAAGTAAAATGTAGTATTTCCTCATGTATTAAATGAGATTTTGCTTCCAGTTATCGGATGTTTATGAGTTTCTCTCTCATTTTCTCATCTCATGCTTCTTCCATTTGTGTACCTCTTTCGAAACGCGTTGAACATGTTATAATTTCTCTCTTCATTTCTGTGAGCACTTCTTTCTTTCTCTTTTTTTTGAAGGCAATAAATTTATTAGCTACTCTCATCATTTTTCAATAATGATGTTGTCGATGTTTTTATTTACTCTTTGTAATTTTCTCTTCTCGTAGTTAATAATGAGTATTTACATCTGAATCAAGCTGCACATGCGAAATGCATTTCATACATTTTAATCCACGTATTTCTTATCATCAATGACGTTGACATCGAGTGATATTATTATCAACACGATATTGTCGTAGTCTCGTTAGCATATATTCAAGTCATGTGAAAAAAATCTGGTTCGAAAAACCGATTAACAATTAGATTGGTAAGTTTTTTTAGAAAATTTTTTACGTGGGAATTGTCAAGTGCTGACAATACAATAATATATGATTTCTTCTATGAAGAATGAATTCAACCATTATTGAGAAGTCATTTCAGTTAATTGCTTTCCAATATTCTAAAATTTCGGGAAGAGAAAAGTTGCAAAGTGACATCAATTTCATGTCTCAATTAAACAAGAACTGTTCATAGACAATAATAACACTCAAAAGATTATAAATTCTAACACACCACACGCATGCAAGCATATAATAAATATTATTCAAGAAAAAGTCAGGTAAAGAATATATCTAATAATTTTTGTATGTTTTGTGAATTATTGATAAAATTTTTTGGATTCATCCACCACCAATGGTTAACCTTACAAATGCGATCATACACTATAACAGAGGCAAAAAACAGTTTCTTGTATCTATTAAATGCAGGTACATACCCTCTGAAACTTGCAATCTTTGAACGACTATCTGTTCTGACAATCGTTTAACAAACGATTTAAACATTTCCTAAATAATACAATTTACAATTGAAAGTCGTGCACAAAATAATACCACACACTAAAATAAAATGTGTCGCATGTGTCTTGTCTCTTGCGTTCCGCTGGAAATACAACACATGCGACGCATTTTATTTTAGTGTCTATACCTTGCTTTCAAAGCGATCGATATATTTTGTAAAATTATATCGAATTGAATCAATAATATGGCGAGGCGGTATCGGGTGATATTGTATTTCAGATAGTAAAATATCATCAGCACGATGCATAGGTGCAGCGATAGGATTTTGGTGACGATACCGGACAAGAGATATTTCTTTAATCGATTTTCCAACGCGCAGAGCTTGATATGTCTGCTCTTCTGTCCTGAAGAACAAATAAATTATGGGTCTACCGGATTTCGTCGGTACCCGACGATATTTATAGTATTTCAGCTGTTGTTGCAGGTGACCACAAAGAACATTGTTAGGAATATCGGATTTCGAACGATTATTTAATACAAGTCGACATTCCATTCTGTTAAATAAATTAATGAGAAAAAATTTGTTTTATACATTCGCATTATGAAGATATATATGTATATCGAATTGATGAAAAAGGAAAGAAAAAAAGGAAAAATTTCGAAAGGGGAATATAGCCTACCTATACCTGTATTCACTTAGATGATAAAAATATTTAGAAAAGTTCGAGGTATTCATTATCGAAAAATAGCTCATATTACATTTATATTAAACACTAAGAAAAAGAAATATTTCCTCTTTTATTAATACCAAAAAATCCAATGAAATTTCAAATGTCTCTGCTGAAAAATTCAATATTATTCAGATACAATAGTGAGAATTCTTACATCTACATTAAAAAAACGATTCAGTTCTAAAGAATAATGTATTTATGTTATTTAATCTCATGTAATGTTTCTCAATTATGTGACTCTACATTACATTTCTCATTTTAAATTCAATCAATCTGATCGTTATCTTTCACGGCCAAATTGTTTTAAAAGAAATGGGTGCCATAAAAGGCTCATTCTCCTTGACGGCTCAGTGACTTATGTTTATTTGAATAGTTTATTTTATTAGCAATTGTAAGAGTGAATATGTTTGCCTTCAAAAACGTGAAAGTAAATGAAAAATATTAATAATTATAGAGAATACTTATCTTATAATATTTCTTTTACGAGAATACAAATATTGCTCGACAATAATAATTGTTTAAATTGTAGGAGAGACAGCAACCGTGACGATCAACAAATCTGGTGATATAAGATTGAGAACGCCACGAAAAGAATCACTGTATTTATACTTCAACATGATCTTATCAGAAGAGATCAAATTTTCTCTAGTCATTAGATAGCAATCAGTTATCTTCTTTGAAGAAGAAGCTTTTCAACAATTTTTTCCGCTTGAAGATGCTTGATTGTGTTTGAAAAGAATTTATCATGAAATAAACTACATTGACAAAATGATATATATGCGATATAATTGATTGCCTCCACTCGTATAGTCCTTTAGAATACTCATCCAAACTAAAATCTTTATAAGATCTTTTCCATACTTCCATATATTTTTGAAAAGTTAAAAATATCTTTGTTTGCTAGAAAAATTGCTTGTAAATATTCTACTTATTTTATCATCTATTGCATCAATGTTAATGTTCCATATGTGATTTAGATCAATCGTATTCATCATTTATATCATTTGTTTTGCACAGCATGTAAAACTTGTATCGATAAAAATCTAGTTTCTGATCAAAAGTACATCTAATTGTTTAATGTAATAGATCATTTTTAGTAAAAAAATTTTTTTTAATTTTGATTTGTCTCAAGTAGCCCTGTATGAATAGCAATTATCACCTGTATACCCAATAAATTTTTTGAAATCAATTCTATTTCAATGAAATATTCAGTACACTAAGGTTTTCAGACACCATCGTAATATTTCTGAGACTCGTTTCATCACTATACCATCAATCTCATGCATATTAATTTGTATACCTTCGCGTTAATTGAATGATCACCGAGTGATGACAACAATCTTAGTTATCACTAGAACAAAGCTAAATAATATATCAACGCCATCGGTTGATAATATCACTTCGCCATTATAAATAACATCGTACTAATATGCCGCTGGAAAATAAAAAGGAACACACTACTAAGCTCATTGATCATTCGAAGTCTTTGTTCTCATTCGAAACAAAAAATATCGGGGACTGTTATCTTATCGTATTTGAATATTCACCTATAAATAGGAAAAAATTAGTCAGTTCTACCATTTTTTTTCTTCCACTCTCTTCTGACAATAGCTCACGTCTGTACTGTTTTTTCATTTACTTATGATGTCACACGCTATGTTTATAACAAGACGCCATTTCCATGTAAAGTGGCAACTTGCCAAATTCAATATCGATGGTCATAAAAACAATCCGTATATGAATGGAAATAACAACAAGGTTATTTTCTAAACTGGCCCAGATCAAGAGCAATCAACATTGTTTCGTAAGGCTGGTGACCAAACTGGCAAAATTTTAGAAGGCGGCACTAGTGTTATAGTTGCTCCAGCAAAATGGCTTGCTCACATGTAGGATAACTGATACGTTGTCTTTATTAATTTGTACACTAATCCTCTATGGAAATCGAGCCGTTATGGCACCTCACTCTCACAAAAACAGATATTAATAAGATTTATATTGAACTTACATATCTGATTGTTGACAGTTTTTATATAGAATTATACATACATCTCGTTAGAAGTAATAATATTTGTGATGAACAGAGAGCAATGCGAGAATAGAAAAAAAAGAACATTACGTATTGAAATATAATCACAAGAGAAAAAGAGGGAACAAGTTATGCTGTTCAAGAGTGAACGGTCACGGTGAATTTGTTTTTTCTCATTCGTTTCGTTCATCTACGAATGTTATTAAAACAACTGAAAGTGTTTTTGAAATCAAATGAGGAAAAAATTTTTTTTTAAGACAAACAGTTCATGAATATTGGAGAAGCGGCAATTAATTACTGTGTATAATACAAGAGATCAATTCGACAATGTTAATAAGAAACTAAATAATTATTTTTTACATCTCATCCATACAGCATTCACAACAAGCTCATTCCACTTAGATCAGATGCTTAATATTGTTTGTTCTTTATTTTTATTTTACAATTATACTCATCAAATCGATAGAATAACTGGTTATTTAAATTAAATAAACACAAAAAATATTTCAAGAAATTCAGTATTGTTATTTTAATCATTGTTAATAGCTTTCGTACTCTATCATGGATTAGTATAGACATTTATATCCTCGTTTGTATGTGTGTCAAGATTAAACATATTTAATCTCAATGTTTCTTTGTATAAATAGTTTTTCACTGTCAAAGAACAGAATGAAAAAATAAATCTAGGGGAACACAAAAAAGAAAAACAATATTGAAACTTTTTATATTTGTAACTGACTATACGAGGTTATACGTTTCTATTTAATTCATTAATGTATCGTTTTGTATTAGACAACGTCACTAACGTTACAGAACATCCAGTAAGGGATGATCTACATCACATTACTTTAGTAATCCTTATTTTACCATTTTATTCAAAATTTAGTTCTTTTGTATAAATTATGTCTTATGACAAAATGATTAATACTTACATCAGACCAAATAAATTTTAACTTTAAAAAAATACTCCAATTTTATCTTCTCATAGCATATTCGATAAAAACTAGTCATTGAGTATTGTTTCTCCTACTAATGGAAAATATTTATTATAGGATTAGGTTGATGGCTAGTTCATTCTTCCGGTAGACGCGGCGTACCTAAACTATTTACTATCTTAATTTTTTTCTTGTACTGTGCACGATGTTACTATTATGTTTACCTTACACATCACATTTATTCATTCATGCTTCCTCCATAATTATAATTAGTTTAATTCGATCGATCATCCTATGTATTTGTTCTATTTTGCAGGCTCACTTACATCGTATGTGCCACTGTATTAATGATTGGTTTTTTTTATCTACCTGTGTCTACATCGAAAATTGTCGCTTGGGTTATTTTCATCTGCAACTGGAAAACCGAATGTATCACAATTAGCAATGGATGAAGTGGTAAAACTCGCATCTCTTCGTCATGCTATCCAAAGAAGTTGATCTAACAATTGTTACGGAACTCTTAATTTAAAAATAAACAACAATTTTTTTTCATTAGTGTCTTTTAACATTTTATCATCTAATTTAATCTTTAAACTGTTCGTTTTTTTCTAATTTTAAATCCAATTGAACACGTTTCATATTAATATTTCTATTAGAATATTAATTGAAAACTAGTTCTAAGCGTGTTTTCTTATAAAGTTATGCACTTTGAAAATTTAGCATTATTTTTGATCAATGACTGTTCTTTAATCTTTATTTTAAATGATATTGAATCTTAGAAAAAATGTAACGTTATAGATGATCTTGTAGTGTAAAGTGTATTGTCAAAAAAATCATTGTGAGAATCTTTCACGTGAATGTTCACTTCGTTTATTTCGTCCGCCTGAGTGACTATATATACCTAGTTATCTCAGGAAAATTGACATCAAGTTGAGGAGGAGAACAATGATCAAGGCGGAGAGACATAATAATGAATAAAGACGAATGGGAGAGAATATATTAAAAAAAGGGGGACATGTACATCTAGATATATATATATATATATATATATACGTTTGACAGCTGTCAAAGTATACAGAACGAAAGAGAAAAATATGAACATATATATATATGTACAGAACGGAAAGAGTATGAACATACATACTTTTGACAGCTGTCAAAATGTACAGGACGTAAGAGAAGAACATAAACAGACGTATATACAGTGCAGCTCAAAAGAATCTCCCCCCTTTGTATTTTTTACTTTAAACCATCAAAGTTTGATCTTTTTTTGATAATCACCACATAGCAAGAAAGTAAAGATTCCGCTGCGTCACATGATATATAAATCATAATTAAAAAACAGAGATCAAGTGATAAAAAACCATGAGAAAGAAAAACATCATTTTTTTTCACTACAATAATTAATTATGCAATAGATTTTTTTTAAATGATTTTTGTTTTTCTATTTTTTATTCGTTTTTCTATTACACATTGACGCATATGATTTTCACTGTGGTTCGAACTAGGAGAAATTCATTTTTATAAACTCGTATAATCAATCAATGCATCGAATACCCGAAATGACTTTATTGGTGAAGATTTGGAAAAGATTCATCTGAAGGTGAAGATATGTTTTATTGAGGCCTTGATCAAGGTTCAAAAAAACATTCAATCTGTTGTCTTTTCCAACGTATCGTTTTTTCTATCATCCATTTCTTGGTACCAAGTTTTGGTTGGTATCTTCAATGGGATGGCAGTGTTCAATCCTTGAACGCAAAGCCAAGAATTGGTCGACCACGCACATTAACAAGCGAAGAAGTGGAACGTTATGTATTGGATTTTGTTAAAACGATGAATGATCAGTATAAACCCGTTGATTACAAGATGGTACAAACACATGTTGAAGTTTCATTGAATCGAAAAGTACCACTAGCAACGATCAAGAGATACGGCAAAATGGAATGTGGTATCAATATCAAAGACAGAAAAACTCATGAAATAACATGTCGTGATGGTGAGTACACAGCTTTCTATAAAGAACATATCATTGTTTTATCTTGCCGTTGACGAGTGCATCTAATAATTTTCTTATATTTATAGTTGATGAAGATCATTGGAATGAAGTTGGAAAATTTCGAAAATTTTTACAGCGAATTAGCAATGATCGATTGATATTTCTCGATGAAATAGCCGTCTATGGTACAATGCCTCCTCTTCGAACGCTTGTCGCTCCTGAACATCAATCTTTCATTATTGTTGATAAACCAGCAGCTTATGCTGATCGCTTTGATTTCATCGGTGCTATTAATGGATCGAAACCAATAGCTTGTATGACTTTAACTCCTGCTGATCGCAAAGCTAAAAATATCCAAGGTGTAAGAAAAGAAGTTATAAATGAATGGATTGTTAAATCTTTGGCACCAGTCATTAATCGATTAAATATCCATGACATGCATTTGGTTTGTGATAAAAGCCGATCGCATAATAAGGCAGATATGATGCAAGCATTTATGATGGGAAAGTGTAAATCAGTTATAGATGTTCATCATATGCCAACAGCATCAGCGAAATACATATCTCCATTAGATAATCCAATTTGGCATTCATTTAGAGAAACTGTTCGAAAACAGCATCCATTGACAACATCGAATACTTCAATACATCAATACTTTCACGGACTTTTTTTTCATTGTCAAAAGATCAAATCAGTTGTGCCTATCGTAAGTGTGCTATCACCTATGGAACTGATGTGTATTATGATAAACCATCCACGTAAATGTATTTTACTCTTTATTTTAATCCAGATGAAGTATGCGTTGTACCCATGTTCTCAAAATCGGCTCACTTTTGCCGATTTATCGTGATTTTGAACAAAATTTCGATCAATGGCGATTTTTTCATATATATAATCGGCAAAAATCGCGATTAATTGTGACAGCCTTGCCGATTAAATCGCACAATTAATCGCGATTTTTGCCGATTATATATATGAAAAAATCGCCGTTGATCGAAATTCTGTTCAAAATCACGATAAATCGGCGAAAGTGAGCCGATTTTGAGGACATGGGTAGTGAAAAAAAATGATGTTTTTCTTTCTCATGGTTTTTTATCACTTGATCTCTGTTTTATAATTATGATTTATATATCATATGACGCAGCGGAATCTTTACTTTCTTGCTATGTGGTGATTATCAAAAAAAGATCAAACTTTGATGGTTTAAAGTAAAAAATACAAAGGGGGGAGATTCTTTTGAGCTGCACTGTAATTAGTAAATGATTAGTTAACTAATTCAAATGCATTTTAGATATAGGTGTTTCATCCATGATTACTTGTAAAAACGTTTCATCGGAATTTTTGGTGCCTTTTTATGATTAACTGATAAATACTAATTAATTAATTAATTAATCAGAACTGACATAAGATTCACGTTCTAATCTGAATTAATTCAATTTTTCCATAAAATCCGTTAATTAATTAATTAAATCCGACCTCAGATTCGGATTCCTCATGCCAAACTACCCTTTGTGCCGCAAAATTAGGAAAAATATTCATGTATAAACGGAAAAAGAGAATTTTTCTACAAGTTTTTTTATTCTGCATTTTTCTCGAAAGTAGTTTTTGGGGTGACAAAAACCGGTTTTACCCCGTTTTTCTCCGTCCCCATTCGTCCGAGCGAGCTGAAAATTTTTCTGGGAGCACTTCGACCTAACCGGGGTGGGTGTTTTTTTTGGTTTTCTACTATTGCAAATCTAATGGCGTGATTACCTTCTGAGAGCCTGTTTTTCAACCTTGTAAAACTTTTAGCGGTTTCCTTGTAAAGTTTTAGCGGCGAAAAGGGAACTTTCGGTCACTTTTTGGGTCCTGGGATCCAAAAAACTCATAGGAGGAGGGTTTTCGGAATTTCGCGTCTATGGCAACTTTTGATCTACTCATCGAGATGTATCTACCCTGAAAGTTTCAAAAAGTTCGGCCAAGCCGTTCGCCAGGAACACCGGAAAGGGGGGGTCTTAAATGATAATAATAAATTTGAATTACATGTCTCAATTGAATCAGTTAAAGAATATAATTTTACTAAAGAATCATTTTATATATTAGTGATTAATCGAAAAAAGCTTGTCTTTATTTATTCATTAAAAACTTCGAAATTACTATGGACGACAGACGAATTTCGAAAGAAAAAATACTCAAGTTCAAATTCTCAGTTGACAGGTGAAACTTATAAAATCGTTAAATTTATTATAAAAAATACTATTTCTCTTCTCCTGTATAAATGCTATGTTAGTGGAAAAGTTTACTGCTGCGATTAAAAGTTCTTTGTTTATAGCACACTTGTAAAAACTCATAAAATCTTTACTTTAAGACCCATTTAAAGTTATTAGCAATAAGTAAGGTGAATTCAGTAACCCTTTGTCAAAGAACACTTACATTCACCGTTTGAGTGGAAGAAACAGCTCGAAGAATTACCGAGTAGAGTTGAATTAACTTTTCCATGTCAGCCCTGTATTTCTCTGCTATTAATGGAATAATTTTATCTCTAAGCTCATGAGAGAAAAATCGACGACCTTGCTGTCCAGTTGTGGAAGTGCCAGTGTTGCCAGTTGAGCCACTGCACTGATCTAGTTTCAGACCTGTCGCCTCTTCCAACTTTTTTAGGAAAACATCCTTAGCCCTTTTCAAGTTATTTTGGTCTTGAACACCTCTTACAGCCCAAGTAGAAAATTTAGCGAGTTTTACTGGATCGTGCCACTCGTCTTGCGTCGTATATTCATAGAAGTCGTATTTTCATAGAAGAAAATTCAAAAACGCGTTTTTGAATTTTCTTCTATGAAAACCAGCACTAAAAGATCTACGAAGATGATATTCGTGATCCTGGCTTCCGGACTATCCATCCATGTGTATTTAAGGCAAAAATAAAATTCAGTGTAAGTTTGCATTATTTCCGCTCTACATAGTCTTTCATGCTCTTGTTATTCCATTCTTCAACCCACACCGGTAGATATGTTCGCTTTGCTGTTACGCGGTTAACAATACTCGGCGTTAATATCAGCTGTCCGTCACTTCTCAGTCATGAGCTTTTTTCTGCAATATAATCTCTTAATCTGCTATTAAAGCCAAGTTTCCATATCTTATAGAACCGCAATAGTCAATGAATGCAATATAGATCATTAACGCTATCCATCTCAGGAGTGCTAGGATGTTTTCTCCCTTCGTTCCTTTGACTGCACCAGCAACAACATATGCTGCTGCATATTGAAGCAAGATTATTTTTTGAATATTTTCATCTGTCGTATCCGAATAAATAACATTAGCATAAAAGATTATTTGTACAATCAAGGTTTTATACAGTATGTTTAACACGTGAAGAGAAAAAATATTTTTTACAAGGTTAAACATACTAAGAATCTTATTACAGCAACTTAGTATATAGTCTATATGATTATTCCACGACAGATTATATGCTAAGATGATTCCTAAATGCTTACGATGCAGAACTTCTTCCAACTGGACTCCGTTTATTTTTATTTTATTATGATGATTATTGGCATGTGTTGAGAAAGTCATTGTTTTACATTTATCAATATTTAGCTTCATTTCCAAGCAATACACCACTTGGAGATCACTTCTGGATCTCTGGTCAATTGCTCGTCCGCTAGCATCATATTTTTATTTGTAATAAGGAGTAAAGCATCATCCGCAAAGAGGCGTAACTCAGACTTAATACTGATCTTTCTGTCTATGCACCCGAAATCGTCAATGTAGATAAAAAAAAGGAGTGCTTAGATAACTAGTAAACCAATCGAGCAACATTCCAGAGACACCTTTACGTTTTAACTTGTAGAGCAGTCCTGTTATCCATATTTTATGGAAAGCCGTCGATAAATCAAGAAATACAGCCCTAGTTTGGCATTCTCTATCGAAATCTAATACTATATGATGAACAATATCAATCGGTTGTAATACAGTTGGGTGTCGTTTTCTGAAACCAGCTTGAGAAGACAAAAGAAGATTGTTAGTAGTAAGATGCTCATAGAGGTGATTGTGAATAAGACACTCTGGTACTTTGGACACAGTAGGCCGTAGCATTATGGGGCGATAATTCTCACAAAGGTGCTGGTCTCGTAAACTTAAAATTAGCGCACATAGCCTCTCTTCCAAATATCTAGGAAGAGGCTGTTTTTAACAGATATGTTAAACACATAGGCTAGGGGAAAACACAGAGCAGATGCACACTCTTTCACGATTCGGTTAGAATACCTGGAGCAGTAGCTTGAGAAGGAGACAAATGAAGCAGAACTTTCTCAACATCACGAACAGAAATATTTATTGCACTTAGTTTCTTGATCGAGATAGGTATCTTTTGTATTATGTTATCATTCTTTTCCTTATCAACTAAAGGACATACAGGCGAGAAATAATTATTTAACAGGCTCGCTCTATCAAGTCTATCTATGACCACAGTGCCTGAGGAGTCCTTCAGAGGAGGAATAGAAGAAGTTTTATTATTATGGACTGTTGTAAATACCGCAGTCCACCACGCTCGCGTGAAAGCATTTGGCGACGAGCTTATTTTCTGAATATAGTTCTGTTTAGCGTTTTGACAAGCCGCTTCGAAAAGCAGTCAAAAAAACCTGATCCGGAATCTAGGTCGGTGGGAGGTTTTCCGTAGATCCGCTAAAAAATCGTATGCATAAACTGAAAATCCTGTGTAATTTTTTCGACCAGTTCCGCGTTCCATGATCTGTGCTAATCATTTCCTGAAAATTTCAGTCTTTTGGGCGAGAAGTGAGTGAAAGATACGGTTTTTAATTTTTGATGATGCAGGTGAAAGACGGACATTTCACCAAATTGGCTTTTCTGGAGCTGTGATTGAGTGAGGAATGAGGCGAACATCGCTACGATAGTCAGTGTGGTCGATCACCTATGATCCACATGTTTCTGAGATTCTCAGACGCATCTGCAACGAGATAGAGAACGTCTGTATCGCCGAAACCAAAGGAAATGAAGGCCTGAGCCTTGCGTAGTTTTGAAGAGAATATTTTGGCTATCTACTTGTATTATTTGAGATTGAATCTCATAGTGTGGTCTGGAAACGGTAAACTTTCGAATTTTGTCTCAAATGGTACACCGTGGTAAATCTAATCTAGAGCGTTGGTTTTTCCATAGGTTTACATACTAAAGTATCTAGTTTTAGAATCTGAAAACCGCATGTCTCTTGCTCTTTCCCTTCAAAAGTTATGAGCAATCTACTCAGCCACCTTTCTTTTTAAAAACGGTAATAGTCAAAATTGGCACTTTTGATTTGAAAATTATGAGTTATTCAAGCATGTTTTATCGAAAATGAGTGTCCTGTTCTTAACAGTCATCAAATATAGAGTCAGTGAAAAAAGGTGATCTGTGCAATGTTTCCCAGAGAAGGGAACCTAGTAAGGATGATATGAGTACGTATCAAAGGACAGTCGATCCTCAGATTATATCCTCGTGGAAAGAAATAGTTGCACACAGTATTATTAAGATATTTTCTTACGAAAATATACTTTTACAAAAATGATCACATATTCTGATAGCGCTTAGAATTCTCTACAATTCTGTATATTTGAACCTCAATATTGCCGAAACCTCAAAATGTCTACTACTTTCAGGCTATAAAATACTATTATCTTTCTTCACCTATTCGTATGTATATGTAGATACCCATATGTGCCATTTAACGGGCTATCTTTCTACGGCAAAACATTGGCTCTAACACATAATCGGAAACCGCTAAAAGTTTTACAAGGTTGAAAAACAGGCTCTCAGAAGGTAATCACGCCATTAGATTTGCAATAGTAGAAAACCTACAGAAAACTAATTTTGATAAACTTATGTCGCTTCAAATTGCCGCATCTCCATTTGAAGGGTTAAAGCATAGATTCAGAATATGTTACAAAAAGTAGACGTTAGATTGTGTCATGTTATGGCTATTCTCCATGGGCTCGCGAATGCTCTCTTAAGCTGATATTCCTGATCACCGTTTCATGGCGAATCAAAATACACGTGTTTGGAAGGAATTTGAAAGGTCACGGACGTTTTGCGATAGCCGAACCTTAAACTTTTTCTGTAAATAATTGAAATAAATTTAACTGTTGGTGAAGCGACCGAGTCTTGTGTTAAGCATCTAGCATACATGTCATATGTATGCTAGATGCTTAACACAAGACTTGAGTAGAAGAAAAAATACTCAAGTTCAAATTCTCAGTTGACAGGTGAAACTTATAAAATCGTTAAATTTATTATAAAAAATACTATTTCTCTTCTCCTGTATAAATGCTATGTTAGTGGAAAAGTTTACTGCTGCGATTAAAAGTTCTTTGTTTATAGCACACTTGTAAAAACTCATAAAATTTGATCCAAAAATAAAATAAAATGATAAGAAAGAAAAACGTTTTCGCTTCTCGACCAAAATTCAATTTCTCTCTCACAATAAAACTAACTATCATAAATAAATAGCAGGTATTTCGGATGCTCTGTCCGTAGGCATCATCTTGTTTTATTTATGATAAGCCACGTTTTTAAGTTACTTAGCGGAAAAAATGGCAAACAACCGTTATTCTCCAAAACAATACACTGTAACTTCCATGACAGATATCGGCCACATACAAGTTAATGAAGTAAGTTTGGAGTAAGATCCACACGGTTTCAAAGGTTTTCTTACTGTGGTAAGCTGAAACTTAAATGGGATACCCACAGAAATAGATTAGAAAACAAGAACTTCGTAGCTCCAGGCGTGTCTCGAGCGTTGTGAATGTGAAGAAAGGCAAAAGTCGAAGAGAACGTTTCTAATATCTGTGCATGCTTCAAACCGCGTAATAATATTAGGAAGAAATCTGCATCCGGAGAGACGCCTCCACCCCAGGAGATCTTACGCTACTGTCGGTCACAGATTCAAACCCCGTAGCTCCCAACGACATTGGCCCGTCGGTGCGAAAATACGGTTCGTAGTAAGATCTGCCGCTTTCAATTATAAAGGATTAAAGTGTTTTGCATCCTGCGTTCTACCACCCTCCTGGCCAGCACATCTAAACAATTTGGCTGACGATAATACCAGGTAGAAGTTGTTTCTGATAAATACTGAGATAAATGTTCAGCCTTCTGGCCCGTCCCATCCGTAAGGTATAGGCGTCTGTTATCAAAATGATTCAACCGTTTTACTGCGCAGGAATCGCCACAAAGCTGCGTGAACATAGCTGGGCCACCTTTTCCCCTTGTTCAATTTTTACAGGTTATTACTGTTAAGTAAGGGGTAAAGAAAAATCGTAATTAATAGGCAAAGGGACGAAAATGCAGTATGTCAGAGCTGACGAACGACATAGGAGGCGCTGAGGCCGACAAATGAGAAAGTGAAGAGTTGATAGAAAACGAAATAAAGGAGTTTGAGAAAAATGATAAAAGAAAAACAAACGAAAAATGTGTATTCCGTTTGATGAAACTCTTCTCCTTATCCCTTTTCGGCTGAGTCCACCAAAGTATAACCGTCGAGGTTACATTCTAAATCTGGAGAGCCGAGAGAGGAGAGACAAAAGAGAAGAAGGCACTATATTTCAAGACAAAACAGAAAGAAACTAACTATTTCTGCATAAAAACACGATTTTTTCCTTTTTTGTTCCTGTGGTTCTGTTACTCGCTGCCTGCTTTGTCGGTATTTCAGCTGCAGATTTTCTGTCAATCGCAGGTAGATCTATTGCCTGAGGCCACGGGGCCTTTTGACTGAGATACTATTTTAATCTTGGTACCAGTTTCCAAATAATAACAACCTAATTATCATTTCGCTTTCTCTTACCTTACAGAATCCTCGTGACGAGGTTAGGAAAGCCAAGGGCGAAAGAAAGGTATGGCGATTATGCGGTTTGTCAATCTATGAAATTCTGAGTATAATAACGAGTGCCGGTGTCTCGATAGCCCTTGGTGTTTATACATTTGTCAGCTCGGCTGAAGATCAAAAGACAAGTGAGAAAAATCGACAAGCTGATCTGGATACTGCGCGTTTGTTGAGACAACAGCAACTGTACGATGGATTTATTACTGAGATGTATAGATTACACAGACATGGTGAACTAAGTACAGAAGCAATTCCATGGGTATTTGCTAATGCACGCTATAGAGCTGCACATTCACAATTCGATGCAGAACGTCAAGAACTCTGTCTTATATTTCTAAAAGAACGTAGATTAATTGGAATAAATGAAAAAGTCATTGACCCAACTGCTTCTCTTAGTCTTCGTCAAACATTCATTCTTTCGTCTAAATATCCGTCACACCTAATCAGATTGGATGGACTAAACTTTGATAACCTTCAGCTAAAAAGCTACACTCCAAATATATTTAAATTAGACATGCAAGGTGTCAAGTTCGACAAAGTACGTCTCTTGAACACATCCTTTGATCATGTTGACCTTACAAATGCAACTTTCGAAGGATCTGGTATTGAACAGACGAACTTTGTTCAATCATCTTTAGTCGAAACAGAATTTAATGGCACAAATTTGACGCAAACCAGTTTTGCCGGTTGTGACTTACATCGAGTTGAATTCAATGACGCTATACTTCATCACATAAACTTTCGAAAGTCTGATCTAAGCGGTGCACAGTTTGTCAGATCGAATGTTACAACCGTTGATTTTAGCGAAGTACAGTTACAGGATGTATTGTTTAGTGATACAAAACTGACAAACTCAAACTTTGGTACAGCGGTTTTCGTAAACGTGACTTTTAAGAATGTAGTTTTTGAAAACACACCGCTTACACAAGAACAAATGAATTCGGCAGTGATACTGGGAAGCACAACACCTGTGCCAACTACAGGTTAGTATTTGAAAACTGCGCGAGTTATAGCTGTACAGTGAACAGTTTTCCAAAGGCAGGCGAAGATTTTGGTTCAACAAAGTCTATTTGACTCCAGACAGAGCCTTTGTACGTTTTCTGACATACTCTTTCTCTCGAGATCGGCGAGTCCTCGAAAAACCCGGCCTTTCTAGAGGCTTTGTAGATATGCGAACGCTGGAAAGCTTTCGTGAGGCCGGTTTAAAAATTTTTAAACGATCCCTTTGGATTTGCCATGGTCGGAGACCTATAGAAAATTCTTAATTTCAGAACGACCTATCGAGATTTTAACTTTTGGACACTGAACGAAATCCACCTGATCTTTGCTATTCATTCAGCAGAAACTTCCCTCTGCACCAACATCATAATCTAATTGCGCATATGGTAAGTGCCTGCAGACTAGTTTTCGGAAATTACTTCCGTCACAGTATTTCAGAATACTGACAGATGGCGTAGAAAAATCTTAGCTCAAAGTTCGACGAAGAACTTTAAAAATTTCTGTTTTCAAGAAAATTTAGCAAACTTTCGACTAAAAATAGTCGAGATACAAATATCCAGATGCAATTTTTTACGCTGATTCCGAACTCAGCGTTATTTTTAACTAAACTAAAGCGCTTTCAAGCTAAGAAAATGTAAAAAACTTCTGAGAAACCAAGGTTTTTGGAAAATCTGCAACTCGGTAAGCTGTTATTGTGCAAGCAGTGTAGACGTAACACACGTAGAAGAACGTTCTCGTCTCGGTAGACCTTGGCTGAATTTGGCGCAAGCACTTCACTGAAAAGGGATCTTGTAAAAGTACTTAGTTTTTGATATACTCTATTCTTCATCTAACAGTAAAGCTTTAAAAACAATTTTTTTTAATCAGTCGATAGTCCATAGACTCAGCTTTTATAATATGTGTGTTTCGTTTTATAACTCTAATGAAAATTGTCAGAGAAGGCTATATTTTCATAAAGCCTTGTAAAAATCGACAAATAACTGTAGCTTACTTTTCCGTAAGACCTTCAGCGCTACGGGCGAACTTTTTTCACATTAGATTACGCCATCGATTAGTGTATGCGTAGAACTATTTGAATCTCAAAAAATTTCACTTTGATTTTTTGACCTAATGTCCACTTGATTATCTACTGTGAGCTGAGCGAATCTATAATAACTTCTTAGGTGTCCGATAAAGATTGAGGCTTTTTGTTCTGCGTCTGCGCTTCTTATCAGATGAGGCAGAAAAAAACGTTTTATATAAGTTATTAACTCGGCCTAGGAACGTTATAGCCAAGTTGAAAAACCCTTGTTCTGTAGAGTTTTTATCGCGCTAACTTTATGTCGAGTCAAAACTAAATTTTGCTAATTTCGAGATTTCGAAAGGTTTTCTGGAAAACCGGGCGTTCTCATAATGCTCCTAGCATATACCGAAGTACCATCCTAGCATATATTCAAAATAAACACTATTAAAAATTCAAGTGCTCGAGCACCATTTGCCAATATTCGCTCTCAGAACGTCGCGAACGAGGAAGAAGTTCTATTTATTGTAGGCACAATATTTCGTGTTGATTCAGTTACGTTTTTGCACAGTAGCTCAATTTGCAAAGTGCGTCTTACGGTTTGCAATGAAAGGGATCAGTTAGATCAATTAAATAATTACCTCGATGATATTCTGCTGCAGTTGTGCGAGGTGTTACGTCGAGTGCATCCTCAGATCAATACTCAGAAGATGCGAATTATGGATAAGTGCCTCTTGTACTATGTTGATAATCAGTCGAACTGTGAAAGATAGATGATTTTGAGCAAAGCGATGATGCTATTCGGTGATTCGCCTTGGTCCTAAGTTTGAGTTATCTAACAATCATGTTGTGATGACACACTTGAAAACTATCTACTATCTACCATTTCATTAGATATTATTATTAACTGTTACTATTTCATCATTGTACATTCGTTTTTCTGTAAAATATTTTATCGTAATAATAATTTGTTGTTGGTGTGTAAAACCGAACTGCAGGTTATTTTTGTTATAGCAAGTTATAGAGGGCTAACGTGCTACTACAGGGGGGGGAGGGCTTCTATTATGGAAAGGGGTTTATTTGGATACCCAAGCAACAAGAAGAGATCATCCAGAAGAGATTTGGTTTGTGAGAATATCTTCTCGGTTTCCAAAAACTGTAAAAAGGTACTCTAGAATACTCTATTGGAATCCAAATCGGTATTTTCAAAAGCCAAAATGTTTCCGAGATCTCCAAAACCAAAAAAATATGCTTGAAAACGCTTGAGACGCTCGCAAATCCTTTCGGAAGCTCTTTATGGGTTCTGAGAGGATTTCCAAGAATACGGATTTTTTTAAAGTGTATAGTCGTAGTAACTTAATTCAATCTCACCCTCGAGACTGAATGTCCAAAATGTATTCAGTTGTAGTTATCTATAATTGCATCTCTTACACGATGTATATATTGAATAATTATTTCATTTGTTAAATATCTCTCAAATGAATTTTATTTACTATTTAATGTTAGTAAAACATACATATTATACTGAAGTGCTTTTTTCTCAAAATGAAAAACACGAATTGTCATATCATTTGTCTTTGAAGTATTTTCCACTATTTTGTTTGACTTTAGATTTGAAGATTTTTGAAGAATATTCCCATTGAGCCATATAACGTTTTGCAATGTCTCGTTGTCGGCGTAA